AGAGCACTTGATCAAGACTTGGTTCTCATTGATCCAGAGATCAAACACACATTTTATCACAGGCAAAGAGAAGCAAGAGCAGCACAACAAATTCAAAAAGACCAAAAACAGCAACAACAGATGGCTAACGAGCAAAATCGTTCGGTAATTCACCTCAACGAGGGTGCAGGCGTTGAAGATGAAGGGAATATGGTACTTGGGGACTTCATGGTACCGTTGGTGGTCCAGAGTCAATCTAGCATTGTGTATCCTCCATTTGGGCAACCGAACTTCCAGCTGAAAACAAATGTAACTCTACTATTTTAGAATGGGCATCAATACCACGTGATGGCTAGTGAGAATCCACATACACACGTATCCCGATTTCTGGATATGTGCCAACACTTTAGGTACCAGGGTATCTCAGATGATGCTATAAGACTGTGATTATTTCCACACACTTTGCGAGATAAAACACTTGAATTGCTGGATTCACTTCCCGTAGCAAGCATCATCACTTGGAACGAGCTAGCCCACAAATTCTGCACCAAGTTCTTCTCGCCAGCTAAGGTAGCAAAAATGCTGTATGACATCTCTATATTCAACCAGGGCGAGTCTGAATCATTTGAAGAAGCATGGAATCACTTCAAAAATATGTTAAGGAAATGTCCTCAACATGGCTTTGATAAAAAGACACAAATCTGATTTTTCTACACTGGATTACTTCCATCCTTCAAGAGCATTGTGGACATGGTGGACTCATCATCCGACAGGTCTATCTCCACAAGAACAATTGATGGAGCATGGGAACTATTTGAGAGAATGGCTATTACTTCAGCCATGTGGTCTACAGATCGAGTGGTTCAGAAGAAAACGCCGGGGGTTTATGAAGTAGGTACTTACTCAGCATTATCTACGAAAATAGACTCCTTGTTCCATAAGGTTGAGAGCATTTCATAGACCGCCACTGCAAAACAAGTCAAGAAGCCAAGCTGTGAAGAATGTGGAGCAGACCACAATACTGTCAACTGTCCAATTCTCACACAGGGGGTCGAACGTACAGATTTTGTGCATTGGGGTCAACGCCAACAAAACAATCCACATTCGAAAACCTTCAATCAGAGCTGGAGAAAACACCCAAACTTCTCGTGGAGTAACCAGAATCAAAACAGACCACAAGGTCAATTTCAGCAGCAGGATAAAAAGCCACCATTCGAAGAGATGTTTGAGAAGTTCATGGCAACGACTAACCAGTACATGGAAGCCAACAACCAATTTATGCGAAAGACAGACGCAACTCTCCAAGACCGAAGTGCTACAATCAAAAATTTGGAGACGCAAATGGGACAAATGGCAATCTCCATGACAGATAGAGAACCAGGAAACCTATCTAGCAACATTGAAATCAATCCTAAGGAGCACGCAAAGGCTATAACAACCAGAAGTGGAGTACAACTACCAGAGATACATGTAAAAGGACCAGTAGCTAGCAAGGAATCAGCACCAACCTCAGATGACGAGATTGTGGAACAGACTGAACAAACAATAGGGGATGTTGCCAAGAAGAGTTCCAATATATCACGAGGTATAGCTGCCAATATTATCAACCCTCATGAGCCACCTGTTCCATTCCCACAGAGGTTGAAAAAGCACAAATTGGATCAGAAATATAGTAAATTTCTTGAAATCTTCAAGAAATTACACATCAACATCCCATTTGCTGAGGCACTTGTTCAAATGCTGAGTTATGCAAAATTCCTAAAGGATATCTTCTCTAACAAGCGAAAGATAGAAAAAAACGAAACAGTGATGCTAACTGAGGAATGCAGTGCCAGAATCTAGAAAAAGCTGCCTCCAAAACTAAAGGATCCAGGAAGTTTTACGGTACCTTGCACTATTGAAAATTGTCATTTTGATAAAGCTTTGTGTGATTTAGGTGCAACTATTAATTTGATGCCCCTCTCTATTCTCAGGAAACTCGTCTTGGGGAAGCTAAAGCCACAACAGTCACCTTACAGTTAGCAGATCGATCCCTTACACATCCAAGAGGGATCATTGAAAATATGTTAGTAAAAGTAGAACAGTTCATATTTCCAGCCGATTTTCTCATCTTAGACACTGAGGAAGATAAGGATGTCCACTCATATTAGGGTGACCCTTCTTAGTTACTGGAAGAGCTATTGTCGATTTTCAGAAAGGGCAGCTTATATTGAGGCTTGGCTAAGAACAAATCTCTTTCAACGTGTTTAAGGCAATGAAATTTCCCACTGAGTCAGACAGCTATTTCTAGATCGATGTAATTGATAAAATAATTCAAGATATATTTCAGCTATATCATCCTTCCGATGCATATGAGGCATGTATTGCACATTCTCAATCCACTCACACTGATTCAAGTGAGATTGAAACATGTGCGCAGTTTTTGGAAACTAATCCACCATACATGCGCAAGCGTCACTTTGAAGAACTGGAAACTAGGACTACAAAGTCAGTGCCATCTATTCAGCAACCTCCCAAGTTGAAACTCAAACAATTGCCACCACACCTTCGATATGCTTACCTGGGGGAGTCTTCTACACTCTCGGTTATTATTTCAAATACTGTCAGTGAAGTGGAGGAAGAGAGACTACTTCGGGTGCTGATAGAGAATAAAATAGCCATTGGATGGTCAATTGCAGATATCAAGGGGATCAGCTCGTCGCTATGCATGCACAAAATACTCATGGAGGAAAAATTCAAGCCAAGCATTGATGGTCAGCAAAGATTGAAGCCACACATGAAGGAAGTGGTTATGGCTGAGGTATTGAAGTTGCTCGACACATGCATCATCTACCCAATATCAGATAGTGCATGGATCAGTGCAGTACAGGTTGTTCCAAAAAAAAGGGTATCACAGTGGTGCAAAACGAGAAAAATGAGTAGATACCTACAAGAACAGTGACTGGATAGAGAGTATGCATCGATTACCGCAAACTAAACGCTGCTACTCGAAAGGATCATTTTTCACTACCGTTCATTGATCAAATGTTGGAGAGACTAGCAGGGCACTGGCATTACTATTTTCTGGATGGGTACTCCGGGTATAATCAAATTCCAATAGCGGCCGACGATCAGGAGAAGACAACTTTCACATGCCCCTACGGTACCTTTGCATACCGTAGGATGCCTTTTGGTTTATGCAATGTTCCTGCCACTTTTCAGCTCTACATGATGGCTATCTTTTCGGATATGACTGAGAAATTCATCGAGGTATTCATGGACGACTTATCAGTGTTTGGGTCTTCGTTTGATGAGTGTTTGTAGAATCTGAATCTTGTGTTACAACAGTGTACAGAGACCAACTTGGTATTGATTTGGGAGAAATGTCACTTTATGTTATAGGAGGGCATCGTTTTAGGACACAAAATCTTAGCAAAGGGTATTGAGGTGGACAGAGCAAAGATTCAGGTGATCGAGAAATTACCGTCACCAACATAAGTGAAAGGTGTTCGTAGCTTCCTAGGGCATGCCGGGTTCTATAGAAGGTTTACCAATGATTTCTCAAAAATTACTAAACCACTGTGCTGCTTGTTAATGAAGGAATCCACATTTGAGTTCACAGATGAGTGTTTGCTGGCTTTTAACACCTTGACAGAGAAGTTGATTTTAGCACCCGTGATCATCACACCGGATTGGAACTTGCCATTTGAATTGATGTGTGACGCCTGTGATTTTGCTGTTGGGGCCATATTGGGACAACGAAGAAATAAGATATTTCACGTGATCTACTATGCAAGTAAGACCTTGAACGATGCTCAATTAAACTATACAACTATAGAGAAAGAGCTCCTTGCCGTAGTCTACGCCTTTGACAGATTTCGATCATATCTTGTGGGGTCAAAGGTCATCGTTTACATAGATCACGCTGCCGTCAAGTACTTAATGGAAAAGAAGGATGCAAAGCCACGTCTCATTCATTGGATACTGCTGCTTCAAGAGTTTGATTTGGAACTCGGGGATAAGAAGGGCAGTGAAAACATGGTGGCAGACCACTTGTCTCGACTCAAGACCACAGAGCAGACAGAGACCATGGAAATCAACGAAGTCTTCCCAGATGAACAGATTTTTCGTGTGGGGGAGGCACCGAGGTATGCTAACATAGTTAACTACTTAGCTAGGTCTATCATTCTACCAGATTGCTCAAGTCACCAGAAGAAGAAATTTTTCGCTAAATTAAAGTATTATTTTTTGGAGGATCCCATTTTATACAGGCGGGGAACTGATCAAATCGTTCGTCGTTGCGTACCTGAGGAAGAAGTGCCCTTGATACTAGAACATTGTCATTCATCTACATACGCAGGGCATTTTGGTGCTTCAAAAATAGTGACGAAGATCCTTCAAGTTTTTATTGGCCTACGTTGTTTAAGGATGCTTTTGAATTCGTGAAAAGGTGTGACCAATGTCAACGCACTGGTAATATATCGAGGAGAAATGAAATGCCTTTTAATAGTATCCTGGTGGTGGAACTATTCGATGTATGGAGGGATCGACTTCATGGGGCCATTTTCCCTATCATTCTCTAATCAGTACATATTGGTGGCTGTGGATTATGTATCGAAGTGGGTAGAAGCCATTGCATTGCCTACCAACGATGGGAAGGTGGTGATTGATTTTCTAAAGAAAAATATTTTCACCCGCTTTGGCACACCGAGATCTATAATCAGTGACGGGGGCAAACATTTCTACAATCGCCAATTTGAACAATTGTTGACTAAATATGGTGTTAAACATTGTGTAGCCATTGCATATCATCCTTAAACCAGTGGATAGATTGAAGTGTCCAATAGGCAATTAAAGCGAATACTTGAAGTCACAGTAAGCTCTTCACGAAAAGATTGGTCTAAGAAGCTGGATGACGCCTTGTGGGCCTATAGGATTGCATTCAAGACTCCTATAGGGATGTCACCATATTGACTAGTTTTCTAGAAGGCATGCCACTTACCTCTTGAGATAAAACACCATGCTTATTAGGCAATGAAGAAATGAATTTGGACTTGAATGCTGCGGGTGAAAAACGTCTATTACAACTTAATGAGCTGGATGAGCTCAGAATGGAGGCCTACGAAAATTCAAGACTCTACAAAGAACACACCAAGAAGTGGCATGATATGCATATTCAGAGACGTGAATTTAAGGAGGGGCAAAAAGTGCTACTCTACAACTCTAGGCTCAAACTGTTTCCAGGAAAGCTGCGATCGAGATGATATGGTCCCTATACTATTACACAGGTATTTTCACATGGGGCAGTTGAGATCACTTATGACGGTAAGGGGACAATCAAGGTCAATGGACAGCGTTTGAAACATTATTGGGGCGGCCATTTCTCAAAGGAAAAGTCTACCGTTCATCTTAAACCACTAGAATGACGCAATGCTGTAAAGTCGAGCTATCGACTATAACCTAGTGCTGGGTGGGAGGCAACCCACAGTATCATTCGATTTATTTTACTGTTCACATTATTTTAGGAGTTGTTTGATTTTTGCGTTTACATTTTTTTAGGACATCGTTCATCCATGCATGTCAATAGAATCTAAGTATCGTCCACATAAATTCCTAGGCATTGAACACATGTTCGGTAAATTTGAAATGGTTTTGGGTGAATGGGAGTATAATTCACACATTTCAAGACAAAATAATGTTTTAGAAATTAAAAGGGGAAATGTGTACTAGAGAATTCAACGAGGGAAAATAAATTTTTGTACTTCATTATGTTTTGTTTTATTTTTTAAAAAAAACAAAATTTTAGTGACATCACCCGAATACAAAAATGGGGGCATTTTTATTACTATGCGACCGCATAGTTTACTACTATGCGGCTGCATAGTAGGACCTTGGTCATGGTTTTAAACCATGACCGAGCCACTCTCCCTCATTTCCTTCTCTTCACATATGTCTCGCACCGTCACACCAACAAATGGAAGGGCACATTCACACACGACTCCCACCATATTACATAGCATTCTTCATCCCATTAGCACCCTAAATCCATACTCCACACATCCATTGTAAATTCAAGGTATTTTCTCATTCCTTTTTTTCTATGATTTTTTTTTATTTTTTAAGTTTGGTTCGTGGTGAATCAAAATTTTTTTGAGCTTGATTGCGGAGAATGGGCAATAGGTAGTCAATGGATTGTGTATTTTGAACTTGGGTTGTGTTGTGGATTGGAAGCACATTATCTTTTTGGTATTTTGTAGGGTTTACAAGGAATGCATACAACATGTTCGATAAATTGCCTAAGTGAAGTTTGTTGTGCATTATGTGGAATCCTGCATTCGATAATCAGAATATGTACATTAACATACACATTGCGATCAAGTTTGTTTGTGTGTATATTGTTATTTTGCCTTCTGTATACATTCTTAAGCATGTTTTCTTGAAGTTTGCATATTACCACATTCACAAACACATGAAAGGCCATCAAATCCATTTTGCAACACGTAGGCACATGGCTAGGTCATGGCATGTCACTATACCCTACGTCCCCTACTTTACACCATTACTTGACACACCAATCGAAGTCCAATTGATTTGAAATTTGAGTACATGGTAGATCTCATTGAATACTTGTATATGCCCAGAGATTGCCTGGAAAAAATTCGATATTTTTCGATGATGTTGTATGCCAACTTCAATATAGAAATAGACACCCCTAGATCAGATCATCTGCATCAAACATGGGTTCGGGGTAAATGGATTATATTTTCACAAAAAGTAATTCATGACTACTATCAGCTAACCTAGAATAATGTAGTCCTAGCCCCGCATGATTTCAACTGGATTGAGGTTGCAGAAGTTTTATTGGGACGTGAAAATGCTTGGCCTCTCCCTACTGTAGATTTGTATCAGATTGACCTCACTCCATCTATAGCCATCCTATGGTTATTCATATGCCACAACATCGAGCCCATATCCCATAGGACGACATTCACAAATCAAAAGATAGGGTTTATCTATCATTTCGTTTGGGAAACAAGATTGACTTGGCCACTTACATCTACAACCAGATACACATTACAGGCGCATGGGGAGATAGGCACACCTTGTTGATTTTCCCAAGCTTGATAAGTGAGATTTGTAGAGCTACAGGCATACAAGTTCAGCCTGGAGAGGCACCAGAGAAACCAAGTCCCTATATCAAGCGCCTCGCACTCAAGGTCCAGGACCGAGCCAGAGTTAAACATCAACAGAAGTTGGAAAATGAGCGATGTCAATAGCAACATAGTGAGGAAGGACAAGCAGCTGAGGACTTCGAAATGCCACAAGCTCCTCCACCATCGACTGACATGGATACCTAGTTATTGAGGCAGATGTTTGCCACTATGACAGGACACAATCGAGACATGCAGAGTCTTCAGCACACATTTGGAGCATTGAGTACCACCATCCAGTAGGTGCAGACTGATATGGCAGCCAAAAGAAACTTCGCTTCCACTGCTAGCAGTGAGTCCCTTGTAGCGCCAAGACAGATGAGTACCTTTGACAGGCGATTGGGCATGTACGTTGATAGGATGGATGGTATACAGTGGCGGGTAAATGAGACATGGGACCGTCTAGGGAATTTGGAGACCAGAGTTCAAGCTATGCAGGTAGAGCAGACCTAGCAGTCTGACATATGGAGAGAGATTTTATCTCGCCTTTCTCCCCCTTCTGGAGATGATGCTGTAGGATCCAGCCTTCCATCACAGCCACCGTATTGATTAGGGGAGTACTGTTTGCCCCATTTTGATTTTTCTTCTTCATTTTATCCTTAAAATTATGTCTTTAATCTTTCGTTAATCTTACATTGAGGACAATGTATTAACTAAGTTTGGGGGGTGACATAATTTTAAATCTTTATCTGTGTTCATCAGTATATGTATTCCATTATTGTATAATGTGTGCATGATGAGTGTTAAAAAAATAAAAATTCCTTGCATTTTATTCAGTTTGTTTTAAGTCTTTTTATGCATGCTTGTGTGGGCATAATAACCTTGTTAACTACAATGTTATTATTGGACTAGTTTAAACTGCAAAAATTTTGGATCTGGTGTTAACTAGACTAACTGATACTTATTGATGCAACACTTGACATCATCTATGCACGCTATTCATGCTTGACATGTTAGGTGAATGATTGAATTTTGAGCATAAAGTAGGTAAGGAATGATAACCCTCTATTGAATTAACCTGTAAATGACCTTAAGACAGTTTGGTGATGGTTGAGCTATTGTAGGGGAGCATTGAGATGAGCGGGGGCTCCGTGCATGAAATCCATTGTGTGGATTGCCTAGACAAGTGGGTGAAGAGTAGGTGAAAATCTTAAATTGGGGGTTGGTTTTGGAAACTAAATGTCTAGAAAAATAATAAAAGGCATAAAATTAATATGTGAGAATAAGACACTTCTTTTTATGCCTTTATGACTCGAGCAAGTAAGCCTGTAAGGATATTTCAAAATTTGGTGCCCTAAGGTCAACTGGCCTGGGAATCACTGGCCCAAAGCTCAATACATGAGTCATATAGAAAGCAAGAAGGAAAGATGTTAATATAAAGTCATCTGATCGAGCCTTTATAACTCGAGTGAATAAGCCTGTAAGGGTTTAAAACCTGGTGCCCTAAAACCAACTGGTTTGGGAGTCACCGGCTTAAAGCTCAGTACATGGGTTATATAGAAAGCAAATGAGAAGATGATAAAAAAAAAAAAAGAAGCTTGGAGAAAAGTGAGAAAAATAAAAAAGAGACAGTAATATGAAGAAAAGCCTTTGGACATTTGGTTGAAGAAACTATACCTTTGAGGCGAGGCTAGTAACCTAGTTTAATCTTGAGTGTCGAAGCAATCAAACTAAGGAGAGCCTTCACTTGTTGACATGTGAACTTGTGATAGTGAGATCAATCCAAACTACGAGAGAGTGAGGACTACAACTATGTAAATTCCTAATCTTAAAACACAACCCCGGGATAATTGAATGAAATAATAAGTTTGGGGGATTGTGTTTGTCTCGAGCGAGTAAGGATACATTTGACCGCTTGGGGTCGGGACTCAAATTCATAATGAACCTGATATGTTGGCATAAATTCACACACACACGTCAAATATGCATTTAACAAGTAAAAGTTGATGTCATTTTTGAACTGATAAATTTTCATAAGGTCAAGTACTTAGTCCAATCCTGAGTCACAGTAGGGTATTAAGCCATGTTTGTTCAAAATTAAGTCACTGTATTGTTTGAAGACAAACAATAGTTCAAGTTTGAGGGGTTTGATAAGTGTGTTTTTGCACACTTATTTAGGTCACAAACATGACTTAATTACGAGTAAAATGATTGAATTGTGACTTAATCTTGTTACATTTGTGAATTGTAGGGAACACTGATGAACATGGTGAAATTCAGGAGAAAAGACGCGAAAAAGGACTAAAATGATGCAAAGTGAAAGTTCAGGACCAAGGTGCAATTATCCAAAAGTTGACCCGATTAACAAATCAAGAAATTGATTAAGCCAAATGCCAATTAATGATATCTTGAGATGATGGAATGGAAAGAATGAAGAAAAGATTCCAAGAAGTGAAGGATTCAAGTAGGAGGACCAAAATGGACTTATTACATAGTTGGGATCACAAGTGCTACCCTTTATGCGGCCGCATAGAGGCAAATCGAGAATTATTTCTCACAATCAGCTAAATCCGCAGTTTTCTTATTCCGTCGAAACTCTTATGGAAACAAGATTTTTAGGGTCATATATAAACGAAAACTCGATTAGAACGAAAGGGACGGCATTTTTACAAGAAAAATGGAGATTTTGAATAGTCAGCCAAAAGGGAGACTTTATCTTGATTCAAGTGGAATTAAGAAATCGATCTTCAACTAGCGAAATCGCTATTCCATTGCTTTAGTGTATGTATGTATGTATGTATGTGTGTGTGTATATATATATATTTATATATTAAAGAGCTTAATGTGTAACTCTTTGTTGCATTGATGCTTGAGGAAGGAAGAGCGGAATGAGTGCCAACTAAAACTATTAATGCAAATGAAAGCCCTTTTCTTGCTCCTGTAACTCTTGAGCTATAGGAAGGAAGCGCTATACCCACCCACAGAAGAACCGAGGATGGGAATCTTGTAGGATGACTGATCTATTTCATTAAAGGAAGAAGATGAATTGTAAGTAGGAAAAGATCAATAAACAGAAGGCCAAGGAGCAAATCCTTCTCTGAGAATGGAAGTATTTAATTGAGGCCTACCATTTGATAGTTCTTTCGTTACGTCGACAAGCTAATAGCTCTTCCTTGTTTAGTTACCACTTTGTGGGAATCTCATTTATTAAGGAGACCCCTTATTCTATGACACTAGAATAAAGTTCATCCCTTGGCTTGTGTACGAGCATTTCA